GGGCTTTGTCCACCAAATCATTCAAGTAAAACACAATCGTGACAATGGGTTGAGCCTCTCTGTAGGCCTTTAATGCCAAACGTTTTTGTGTACATGTACATGTTTGTGGGTGGTTGGCGGGCGCTCTTGTGTGGTTTGTTCTTTCCTTCCTTTCAAATATCTATCGTCCTTATCTCTCCTCCTTTGTTGTGTACGTTACTCTCTTGTAACACATATATTCTTCACCACTTATTTGACCTTTTTGTGTTGCAAGTGCGGTAAAACTCTTACTAGAACAAAAAAACAAAACATGCACATATATTTTATAATTCAGCGCCACCGCGGCGCTGTTGGTTAATGGACTCGGCCGACATGCGGATACTGTTTGGTCCTCTCGAGTCCCGATTGGGGCTTGGGTTATTCTCTTCCTTTCGAGAATACCCTTTTCCTTTCAGCCCCCGTCTTCTGACCTGCATTATGCTCGAGCGCATCATATTAAAATCTTGACCACATTTTTTTGCCATCATCGTAAATTTGACTCCAAAAACAGTTTTAAAAGGAAGAACATAAAAACAATATCTCCTAAACAACGCACGCACACACACACACACACACACACACACGCACACACACACACACACACACGCGCGCCACAATAGACAAAGAAATCATGTAAAAAAACAATTTAAAAAGGAGGAAGAATGAACACAAAATAAGATGTACATGTATTGATTTTCTAGTTCTTTATCTTGGGGATAGTATTTGTCCATGGAATCTTGTGCTGTGATTTTCGAGTTCCATTGGAACAGACAAGCAAAAGGTTGGGGTTTTGTTTGTTTGTTTGTTTGTTTGTTTGTTTGTTTTTTGCTAGAAAAAAACCCAACAGGTTTGAAAGATGAGGTTACATTTTTCATTTTCCCCTCGGGCAGCTGAACCAGGAGATTGTTTCCCTTTGTTTCTCTCTTTCTCCCATTGTCTTTAATGTCATGGACAATGGACACCTTTTTTTTTATGGTTGGGTCGATTTTCCTTTCGCCCTATTCTCTGTTTACCAAACAAAACTCTCTCTCTCTCTCTCTCTCTCTCTCTCTCTCTCTCTCTCTCTCTCTCTCTCTCTCTCTCTCTCTCTCTCTCTCTCTCTCTCTTTCTCTTTTCATTATCGTTCCTTATTGTTTTCTCTGTGACACCATTTACCTTTCGCCCGTTCCATTGTCCTCATGTAGTTTCCCTCGTTTTCTTCTTTCCGCGTTTTGTACGTGTGTTATTATCACCATTCTACACCCCCCTCAATCCTTGTTCACACCGTAATTATTACCAACAGGCGTGGGGTCAATGGCATTGCTTGCTTAGCAAGCAGATCTCTTTCTCCCCCCCC